GAACGGAGCTAACAGGCTAAAAACTTGCCACAAAAAGGCCGTGCGCGACCGGCCTCATGCAATTGTCACTCTCCCAGGTCGTTAAGACCAAAACTGATCCAAATTCCTTTACGGGTCCCCCAAGAAATACCCCTCCACGATGTGGGAAGCCGGGAAGTGACCAAAACCGTCATACCCGTAACAGCACACGAGGCCAAATTGGTCACGATCAAATCTTTCCTACGCCTCCTAATAACTCTTACCTCCACGAGTAAACCTTCTCACGTTCCTTTGTCACCTCACGCCACTCATGCAAACGAGTAGAGTACGCGGAATGTTATTCCTGGTCTCCTGAAACCACGCTTTAAACTACACGTAGGAGCTTTTAACGTCCGAACACTGTGCAAAATAGGGCAACAGGCTTCATTAGCCAGGACTTTAGAGTCTCGCATAATCGATGTGTTGCGTCTCCACAACGCGCATACAGGATCCGAGTAGCTTCATTCATTTGACCTCACCATAACAAAATAAAGAAACGTCTCAATTCACGCTTCGTGTATCTGAAATCCCTGATGCTGCTTCCGTGACCTTGCTGGTGTAGGGATAGCATTGAGTCCTAGGGCAGAACTAGCTCTCTTAGACTGGATCCCAGTTGACAGTCGTTTGTGTGCTCTCCGACTAAGCGGAACAGTAAGGACTCGGAAAGATAGGGACACTCGTCGTTGCCTATTCGTCGTCTCCGCCTACTCTCCCACTGACTGCAGCTCTGGTGATGTAAAAGACGAGTTCTACAGAAAGCTTTCTGATCTCCTCCAAAACTTTAGGCGCTCTGATGTAGTAATAGTGGTTGGTGACTTTCATGCTCAAGTAGGTAAACCAAGCGAAAGGGAAAGACACCTGGGTAGGTCTTATGGCATTTTGGCTCAAAGAACAGATAATAGCGACCGTCTGTTGCAGCTATGCTGAGCCAACAGCCTGTTTCTTGCAAATACTAACTTTAAGCATAAGGAAAAACATCTTTTAACATGGCGACCCCCTAATTCGTCCCAACGTTGGACCCAAATAGATCACATCGCTATCAGCCACCGACGGAGGGGCTCGATAGAAGACTGTCGCTCGTTCTGGAGCACATGCTTAGATTCAGATCATACTGTAGTACGAGCGCGTATTTGTCAGCATCTTACTGGACGTAGGAAAGACGCAGCAAGGAAACCTCTTAGGGTCCTACTTAATGATAGTCAAGCTAAGGATATTTTTTCAGGAACAACTAGAAAAACAGTTAGACAGCCATGTATGTGATGCCCACCCCGAGACAGCATGGAATGATATCCGAAAAGCTGTGGAAGCAACAGCCACAAGGTTAGGGAGAAACACTGGATCTCAGCAGCATCTACCGCACTGATAGATGCTCGAAAACTCATTCCATCTGGCTCTGAACATAACGAAGAGAGGAGTCAGCTTAAGCGCAAGCTGAAAAGAAGCCTACTCAATGATCGCGAACAGTGGTGGGTAGTGAAAGCAAGAGAGGTGGAAAAGGGAGCTGCAGTAGGCAACAGCAGACAATTGTTCAAGCTTCTCAAGGAAACCGGTGTTAGGAATCCAACTGTTAGCGAAACTATCTCAGAAAAAGATGGACATATTATTCACTCTCAATCCAGAAGATTAGATCGATGGGCAGAACACTTTAGGGATCAGTTCAACTGGCCTTCAGCCACACTTCGGTTTCCCACGATCTCCAGTCAACATCAATATCAAGTTAATGTAGGTCCTCCGACTCTTGACGAAGTTCAAAAAGCTATAGGAAATGTGAAGCGAGGGAGAGCAGCAGGCCCTGACAGGTTTACTGAGATTTTTAAGGATGGTGGTCCAGTATTGTCAGTGAGATTAACTGAGGCCTTAGGTGGAATTCGAGAACTGGACGTAATCCCATCTGGCTAGTCTCAATCACTGATCGTGCCAGTCTATTTCTTATTTTATTTGAATACATAAATATTGGTACAAGAGTGTGCCAAATATATATGCGCCACACAAAACAATGAGAATTTAAAGAGAAGGAAAAAAATGTATAGGAGCGTGAAAAAAAGAGAACAATAACGAAGAGATTGGTGTAAGGTAGTGTAATAATAATAATAGTAACAATGGGGTAACGGAAAGTTACAATCAGAAGAAATCTTCCAGTTAAGTAAGATACAACCACTTTTCACGGAGAAAGTAAAAGAAGGTTACAGCAGGATCGCCACTGGCTTCTATTCTGAGCAATATCTGATAACGTCTCTAGCCACTGTGTAGCACCATCTCTCGGACCCCAACCAGGGAGTCGTGAAGGCCCGACACAAGCCAGCCCTTTGCAGCTTTCTTCCATATCACGACAACATGTCATACACTGACCACCTCTCCGCTTTTTCCAACCAGTCCCAGAGACGGCAAATAACGCACGACGTGGAATTCTCTGGGACGACATTCGGAGAACATGTCCAAGCCACCGAAGTCAGTGTTTCAAGATGGTGACACCAATTGCATTATCGTGTCTGTGCCCGAACACACGATGCCCAACCTCTGCATTACTGACGTGGTGTTGCCACTGGGTGTCAGCAATCCTTCGGAGACAACGATGATCGAACACAGAGAGTCGTCTAACTTACTCAACTCGGAGAGGCCAGGTTTCACAAGCATAGAGCAGAACTGCTCTCACCGACGCGTTGTAGATCCGACCTTTTACAGCCAGACTAACATCCCGAAGGCGCCAAAGATAGACCAGATTGGCATAAACCGCTCTGGCTTTCACTATACGTGCATTGATCTCATCATTCACATCCCCACCAGCACTTATGCAGCTACCCAGATACACGAACTTCTCGACTACTTCTATATGTTCACCATCCAGAGTGAGTACAGGATTAGAATCCTGTCAGTCTTGCAGAAGTACTTTGCACTTCGAAGGTGCACATACCATACTCACGGACACTGATTGCCAACTGATTAAGTGCGGATTGCATGCCTTGGGCATTATCGCACAGTAAGACAATATCATCCGCATACTCAAGGTCGAGAAGTCTTTCTCCAGGCAACAGATCCACACTGCCATTACTTACATCCATCAGAGCTGTTTCCAAAATGTCATCGATGGCAAAGTTGAAGAGGAATGGTGAGATTGGGCAACCCTGTCTAACCCCACTGCTCGAATTGAACAATGGAGAGAGGTGGTTGTATGCCCTCACTCTGCCTGAGGTGTTTGTATATAGGGCTTTCAGGATGTTTTATGGTGTAGGAGTAGGTTGGAAAAAGGTAGGGGCAACCATACCGAAACATGGCACAAATCAATGAAGTCACTGATAAGCGGACTGAGCCATGTTAGTAAGTGTAAACTACCTGTTTGGGATCCGCGAGATGATAACAACAGACGGTTAGAGACCTTGAATAACATGGCTCGAAATCAATTGAACAGACCTCGTCACTATACATCAACGTCCTTGACTATGAGAAGGCGTTCGACAGCGTGGATAAGAGAACCTTATGGAACCTGAGACCGTCATCATCGTGCAGAATTTATATGATGGACTATATTGCAAAGTCGTGCACGAAGGACAACCAAGAAATGAAATCCAAGTGAAGACCGGTGTAATACAAGGCTGCTTGTTCTCGCCCTTTCTTTCTTCTGGTGGTTGACTGGATTATGAATACCTACACATCTGAGAGGGAGCACGGAATACGATACGCAGTTTGAATCCAACTAGACGACCTGGGCTTCGCAGATGATCTAGCTCTTCCATCCCATACACACCAACAAATGCAGGTCAAGACAACCAGTGTAGCAGCAGCCTCTGCAGTAGTAAGCATCAACAAGCACACGAGAAAAACTAAGATTCTCAAATACAACACAAAGAACAACTCAATCAGACTTGATTGAAAAGTTCTGCAAGTGGTGGAAGCTTTCACATACTTGGACAGTATCATCGGTGGACGAGGAGGATCCGATGTAGACATAAAGGCAAGAGTGGCAAAGGGAATCATCCCCACACTTTGAGAACATGTAGGACTAAAAAAACTGTCAACCAGTATCAAAACCAGAATATTAAATGCGAACGTCAAGACATTTCTGTTGCACGGAACTGAAGCTTGCAAAGCTACCACAACCACAATCAAAACATAACAAGTATTTGTAAACAATTGTCTACACAAGATACTAAATGTCCATTGGTCGGATACTATTAGCAAGAACTTACTATGACAGAGAACAAACATTGGATAGGATATACATTGAGGAAATCATCAAACTGAATCACAAGTCAAGCCCTAACTTGGAATTCTGAAGGGAGACAGCAAAGAGGAAGGACAAAGAACATATTGCGTTGAGAATTGGAAGCAGACATCGAAGGAATGAATAACAACAGGAAAGGATTGTCCAGGACAGTGTAATGAAGAATCCTGGTGAGAGACCTGTGGTCCTGCACTAGGGGTAAAAGGTGTAAGTAGTGATCTATTTTACAAGTGTATAATTTTCACATTAACTGCTCGCGAATTTTACCCGAATATATGCGTGTCATCTCAAATAGTCAAAATACTACTTTCGCTCTTGGTAATTATCAATCATAAGTATGAGGATTTCTGTATGCAGCAAACATTCAATTGAATTACAGAGTTATATTCGATGTAATAAAAACGATAACAGACATACAATATCAGTTCACATGTGTAAATCATAGTGTGAATTCACTAAATCATAATACGGTCAAAAAATCTATTCAAACTAAAACAATCACAGAAGAAATACACAATCCTTGTACGCTGAATTACTCGCACAACTCAACATAAATGAAACACAAAAGCCATGATAGACGGGACTTGTTCGGTTGGTATTGGGACGAAAGATTGCTTAATATTTGTCATGTTAAATAAAACTTGCTAAGAAATCGGAAATAGTGTGCTGTACGACTATTATTCCTTTCTTCAATTATAATGATCAAGTGAAGCGAGAAAAAAACAAGCACATACTGTACACTTTCTGATATTTACAACGGAACTCAAACAGATAATACCGAAAGTATTTTTTCAGTCAAAAGTTTTGTATTTTCACTGGTGTAAATCTTTGATTGGAAATCTCCCGCACGATCACAAGCGACAGTTAGTGCGGGATCAAAAGGCAGTCGACCTATGAAAAAAATCAAAATGTAAAAGAATTTCTTAAATATATTATACTACAGTGGACACATAAAATATATGGGACATCAATCAACAAGGGGAAGATTATGCGAACTCTTCAAGTAGAGAGTTCAAACGCGATGAACAGTTATTGAAAATCCCTACCTGTTTATCGCCTACATGTATTATACTGTGTAAATATTTTAAGCATGATCTGCAATGAATATATAAACTCTGATTGGGAGATTTTCAGCAGACAAGCAAATTGCTTGGAGAATGTTGCTGATACTTGGAGAAGAACAAGATAGCATGTGTTGTTTAGTTATTGTTATAAAAATCTACTAAATACTTGGTTGAACATCTCCAAGTTTGGTTTAGAAAGGGTAAAAAAAGACCATACGCAGCTCTTCCTTGATACGTCTGGTTGACAATGATCATATGTTAGATAAAAACAAGTCATTTCGAATGATCTGTAGTGTGCCTTCGTTATTTCTAAATGGAGTTCGGTCCCGCCTCCTACATATATCAGAAGCTAAAGGGATCCGCACTCAAAATCCTACTTTGTGTTTAGAAATTCAAGATACCCCCTGTCCCTCCCTTGGTTGGATATGAATTAATAGATGATTTCGTTAATTTCTTTCACACCCCATATTTGTTTATCATTATTCCCTTCTGTTTATATTCTTCATTATCTAATTATTTACACACTTCTTATTGCGTAACTTTGATAATGCTTTGTGATTATTACTTTAAAGTCTATCTATCCAAGTTTGATCTACTTTCCATGTTGAACAACTTACTAGTAATTTTATTATCCTTATTACTATCACACCTACATTCTTGTTATCCATTCATATTTTTATCTATTATGTGTAATTATACAATCTATTTCACTGTGATCATTGACTAACGAATTCACTTGATTGGTTTAATATTTTCATAAAAATACTCGTGTATATTAGAGAAAAGTCTGATGACGATCTAACGAAACAATATTGTTCATTTATATATGTTGTTTGCTTTTACAATGGGAATCTATAGTATTTTAAAATACTATGGGATTCCTAAGCAGTGCGCATCCACGATCCCGCCCCGCGGGATTTGAACACAGGACCTATCGGTCTCACGCGAACCTCCAGACCACTGAGCCGGCATCCAATGGTGTTAGTGTCTAACTTCAACCAATCCACGAAATTGAGCCACATGTCCACCATTGTCTTCAGCGAGTTACTATCGCACAACAGACCCAATTGAACTCCACTGGTCACTGCTTCTCACTAGGGGTTAGGCGTTCGCGCGCGAGACCGGTAGGTCCTGGGTTCGAATCCCGCGGTGTGGGATCGTGGGTGCGCATTGTTGAGGAGTCCCACAACAGGACGAAACGGTCGTCCAGTGCTTCCAGGTTTTCCATGGTGGTCTAACTTCAATTGATTCTTGATCTCAACTATTAAATTACTATAATATCTAGAAAACCCTTTCTGATATTTTAAAATAGTTGTTTGGCTTTCTTAAATTAACATTTATTTGTGTCTGATAATGATTATATCAAATAGTAAGGTGCAATCAGACATAAATTTATACTATTATTATACATACCCAAAAATCGAACATTTTTCTCAACAGCCAATGCTTCAGCACCTCCGTATGAAAACACGTTCGTACACTGAGCACAATTGGGACATTTGTATCCACTCATATTTTCAATTAAACCAATTACTTTCATATTTGTCTTCATACAAAATCCAAGCTCCCGACTTACATCGCACAAGGATACTCTCTAAAATAGAAGAATTACTCAATTTTATTCTCAGTCAGTCAGTCAGCTACAACGTAGGACCAGGCACATATATGCAACGGTCCAGGTTGCCATACCGCATCAGCACAACAAGATTCACACTGGATTCATAGAAGTGGTTAGGCCAAAGGTGGTAATATATAAGAGAAAGTTTGCATATAGAGATATAGTACAAGAAGAAAGAATTGGTTCGTAGAAAGAAAGATATGAAGTGACTTTAATCTCTTAGTTTAAGGGAAGACAGGGAGTGTATACACCGACGCCATTGTGATCGATTCTGAGCCGTGTCACCAAGAGTCTCCAACCATTGGTTACGAAAGTCATGCGGACCCCAACCAAGTAGTCTGCATCTACTAACATGGCTCAGACTAGAAGTTAGTAACTTCAAGCACTGATGCCGCGTTTTGGTTTGGCCGCCCCTAACTTTCTTCCAACCATCTCCAATACCGGATAGCATTGCACGTCGTGGTAATCGGTATTCAGGTATACGTAACACGTGGCCCAACCATCTCAATCGATGAAGATTCATAACCTCATCAACTGACTTACCATCATTCCCTAATACTCTGCGTCTAACCTCACTATTACTTACCCGGTGATCCCAGCAGATGCCAGCAATATTTCTAAAGCATCTGTGGTCAAATACTAATAGCTTACGAGTGTCTTCTACTCTTAATGGCCATGTTTCGCTCCCGTAAATTAAAACAGAACAGACTGCCGCGCAGTATACTCGTCCTTTTATTGATAGACAGATATCTCGCCTTCGCCATAGGTGGCGCAAGTTGGCAAAAGCCAATCGAGCTTTTCGAATCCGTGCTGAGATTTCGTCCGATACCAACCCATTAGGGCTGATCAGACTTCCAAGATAAGTGAAGTTGTCGACGCGTTCGACTACTTCACTCCCTATCCTTAGTTCAGGTGTTGACGCAGACCAGTCCTGAAGCAACAACTTGCATTTAGAGGGAGAGAAGCGCATTCCAAACATCCTGGCATTGTTGCTCAGTGCTACCAGAAGACTCTGCATTTTGTCAGCGTCTTCACCAAACAGGACTATGTCATCTGCGTATTCTAAGTCGATATGTGGACCTCCTGGTAGGAGATCAATACCCGAGAATTCAGTCGACGAGAAAGTTATTTCCATCAGTAGATCTATGATGAAGTTAAACAAAAATGGAGAAAGTGGACAGCCTTGACGGACACCACTTGAAGTTGCAAAAGTAGATGACAGTTCGCCATAAGCCCTGACTCGACTAGTAGTGTTCGAGTAAAGAGCCTTCACAAGGTTTATGTACTTCTGGGGTACGCCTTTCAATGACAGACACTGCCACAGAGTCTCGCGGTCTACAGAGTCAAATGCTGCTTTTAAGTCGAGAAAGACCACAATCGTCGGACGCCGATAGGTATGCCTGTGTTCTAGAACCTGACGAATGGTGAATATGTGGTCGATGCAGCCACGACCAGGTCTAAAGCCAGCTTGGTTCTCTCGAGTTTGTAGTTCACGAGTCTTAGTTAGGCGTCTGATAATTATCGAGGCCAGTATTTTAGATACTATGTTTGTTAAACTAATCCCTCTGTGGTTGTCACAGGATGATTTTGACCCTTTCTTATATATTAGGACGATAAGTGATTGCGACCAGTCAGATGGGATAAAGTCTAATTCCCAGATCTTAGCTAAAATATTAGTCAACCTAATCGCTAAAATTGGATCACCATCCTTAAAGACCTCTGGAGCCAATCCATCTGGACCAGCTGCCCTTCCTCGTTTCAGATTAACTATTGCCTTTTGAACTTCAGCCAGAGTCGGGGGACCTACTTCAATTTTTTCATTCACATTGTCTGGGAATAGAGGGTAGTTGTAGAGTAGCTGAAGGCCAGCTGAACTGTTCTCTGAAATGTTCCGCCCATCGTTCTAAACGCCTGGACTGGGAGCAGATGAGTGTATCGTCTTTTTCCGATATAATCTCACTTACACTTGATTTATTAATTCCATTTTCTTTTATTAGTCTGTAAAGCTGTCTTGTGTTCCCTATAGTCGCCGCCTTTTCCATCTCTTTTGCTTTCGTTGCCCACCACTGCTCACGGTCGTTTCTTAGACTTTTTCTTAACCTAGATCTGATTTGTTGTCGCTCTTCATCATGTTCGGAACCTGATGGGACGAGTTTGCGAGAATCCATCAGTGTGATAGACTTTGAAGAAATCCACTGGTTCTTAGAGACTCTGTGGTTTAAGTCACTAATAGATGTCACTGCTGTTTCCACAGCTGATTGTATGCCCTTCCAAGTAACATCTGGGTCAGCCTCGTCTTCACAACTACCTAAGTGTGACCTCAGTTGTTCCTGGAACCTACTTTTGGTTTCCTCGCTACTCAGTTCGGTTCTAATGGGTCTTTTTACTGTGGCTTTTTTGCGTCCAGTGAGGCGCAAGCAGATGCGTGCCCGTATTAGGGCGTGGTCGGAGTCCAAGCAGGTACTCCAGAATGAGCGACAATCTTCTACCGACCCTCTCCAACGATGACTGATGGCAATATGGTCTATTTGAGTCCATCGTTGGTTTGGTGCAGGCGGTCGCCATGTTAGACGATGTCTCTCCTTATGCTTAAAATTTGTGTTTGCTAAAAATAAACGATTGTCTGAGCACAGTTGCAGGAGACGGTCACCATTATCTGTTCGCTGTGCCGGAATGCTAAAATATCCACCTAAATGCCTTTCTGTTTGGTTTAAGCTACCTATCTGAGCATTAAAGTCACCCCCTACGAGTACTATGTCTGAGCGTTTAGCTTTCTGAAAAAGTTCAGAAAGCTTTCTGTAAAATTCATCTTTCACATCATCTGAGCTGCAGTCAGTGGGAGCGTAGACAGAAACGACAAAAAGGCAACGACGTGTGTCCCTATCCTTCCGAGTTCTTACGTAGCCGTTCAGCCGAACAGCACATAGACGACTGTTGACGGGGATCCACTCTAGCAGTGCTTGTTCGGCCCTCATGCTTAGTGCTATGCCTACACCTGCCAGTCCACGAGAACTGGCCATCGGGTCACCAGATACACGAAGGGTGTATCTCGTCGGCTCTCCGTTCTGCCGAGGTGAGGTCAAGTGAATGACCACACTGGAATCCTGTATGCGTGTTTCGGAGACACAGCATACATCAATGGAAAGAGACTCTAGGGTTTTAGCCAAGGAAGCCTGCTGACCGATTTGACATAGAGTGCGTACGTTGAAAGCTCCAATGTGTAGTTTGGAGCGAGGTTTCAGTAGACCTGGGACAGAGTTTTGAGCACTAGAATCGTTGGCTATGGTGACACTTGAGGAGGAAGCCGAAGGAGGAAGTTTAGGGTTGAAAGTCGATGTAGGAGGAATAATAGGAATTGAAGAGGAAGGTTGATTATGAATACAATGGTCTTGGGTGCTGTTAGAGGTATGAGGGCTGACGTTTACATAATAAGTCTATTTTGTCTCAATCACGATAGCTGGTAATCCAATCAATTATTTGTCTATTTTAATTGACTCTCAATTATAAATGATAGTAATAAAAAATTCGCTTCATGTTTTATCTGACTCCTCAAAATAAACATACACATTACTTTTAAACCAGTGTGCATATTTTTTGTTGTTCACGTCTTACAATTTTCTGTCCAGTTTCCAAAATTTATTTCAACTTCACTAAGTACGTTATATTAAACGTTTGTAAACATAATGCTACTCGTAACTAGGCTGCTTGAAAGTGACAGTATATCTTGAAATAAAGTGAATTTATGATATTCTGAGAATCCTGTTTTTGTACAGGAAAATAATCGTATGATCATATAATAGCGAATAACAATTAGTATACTGGTTGTTAAATATTCTGAGAGAATTAAATCATCTAGTGTGATAATATATACTTAACTATCTTCTATAGTAATCATATCACATTATCATCCCGACCGTTGCTGCTACCTTGACATGGTGGTAGGGCTTGCTTATCGTGATGAACCAATCGAGCTATACTGGTTGGAACGATCGTTCCTCAAGGTCCTACCATACCAGACAGGTCGGTTGAAGAACAGTAAGACTAAAGGCAGCAAGCCCAAGGTTCGAAAGCGAAGTCGTACTGCTGACTGTACAGAGGTGTGACGGCAGAAAAGTGTTTCCCTCAGAAAACCAGCATAACAGCGATGCTGCCTTCCCATAAAGGAAGGGTGAATTTAGAAATGGTCGACCGTAAAATTACACACCTCGCCTTATCCCATAGATATCCGTCTCCGGTGATAAGATCTCAACAAGTATGGAGCTAACACAAAAGTGGTTGTGTGTGACCGACCTCAGGCAGTTGTCCCTTGGGCACTGCGGTTATGCTCTCAGGTCACTAAAACCAGCTCTAACCCAATTTCATTTTCAGGTACATCCAGAAAAGCCCTTCCATGGTGTGGGAAACCGGGAAGTGATAACTCCCCTCATACCTTTAACAGTACTTAAGAGCACTATATCTCTATATGCAATCTTTCTCTTACATATTACTACCTTTGACCTAACCACTGCTATGAATCCGGTGTTCATCTTGTTGTGCTGATGCGGTATGGCAACCTGGACCGATGCACATATGTGCCTGGTCCTACGTTGTAGCTGACTGACTGACTGACTTAAGATCACTGTATTCATAATCAATCTCCATCTTCAATCCCTATTATTCCTCCTACATCGACTTTCAATACCAAAAAACTTCCTTTTTTGGCTTCCTCATCAAGTATCACCATAGAAAACGATTCTAGTGCGCAAAACACTGTACAAAGTCTAATGAAACCTCGCTTCAAACTACACATTGGAGCCTTCAACGTACACACCCTGTGTCGAATCGGCCAGCAGGCCTCCTTGGCTAAAACCCTGGAATTTCGTACCACTGACGCATGCCGTGTCTTCGAAACACGCATACAGGGTAATAGTGTGCTCATTCAGTTGACCTTACGGACCGACGAGATACACCCTCTGTATATCTGGCGACCCGATGGATAGTTCTCGTGGACTGGTGGGTGTAGGGATAGCACTAAGTACGAGGGCACAACAGGTACTATTAAAATGGATCCCCGTTAACAGTCGCCTATGTGTTGTTCGGCTAAACGGCTCCGTAAGAACTCAGGAGGTTAGGGGCACACGTGGTTACCTTTTCGTCGTTTTTGCCTACGCTCCCACTGAGTGCAGCCCGGATGAAGTGAAAGATGAGTTTTACAGAAAGCTCTCTGAACTTCTTTATAAAGCTATACGCCCAGACATACTACGCGTAGCAGGTGACTTTAAAGCCCAAGTAGGTAGTTTAAACCAAGCAGAAAGACATTTAGGTGGGTATTTTAGTATCCCGGCTTAGTGAAAAGATAATAGTGCTAGTATACTTCAACTGTGCTCAGATAAAGCAAGTCCTAGGATATGTAGTTATCGGTTTGAGTACTAAAATCCACGTCAAGGCAACGAAAAATAGAAACAAAGAAAGTCAAAACCATGACGATAGCAGTGACACAGTAAAAGTACGTATATTTTGAACGGGATTTTTCGCAACTGTCTGACACCAACTGAAAGTACGCACTGATCTATTGAGCTTTTAGTGAAACTTCGTAAGTATCGAGAAATTTATGACGTATTGAGGGTTATTGCACAAGAAATGGACTGAAGGAACTAATACATTTCAAATCGGTCAAGGATTTTAGTGAAAGCAAGGATTATGCACAATCGGACTGACCGTCAACATTCCATGTTGATGTAAACTTTGAATGCGTAGAATTTTTAATTCTTTTCATTCGCCGACTTACTGAACGGATGACTCCATCAAAACGTAAACCATAGAAGCACCTAAACCGATTGATTTTTAGGGACCTCGAGGAATATATTGAGCAATATAAACCCAGACAGGACAAGTGTATTGACAGGAATGGGAGTATGCAGTAAAAGATAAGTTTGATGAACTCTGAATTTGTCAAATCACGTTTTTATGAACTTACTTTGTCCATTTATTGGACAATAGGTAGTTTGAAAATAACGAATAGAAATGAGAAATTAAAAGCTTAAAAAATATTACCAATGATAATTTATTGAGAACAAAAGTTAGTTCACCTGTGGAGTTGAAACAACAATAATTCCTACATCTACATCAGATGTGGACTTCTGTAGGTGTTCGAAAACAGTTATATGTTCATCTGATGTTCCAGGAGGAGTATCAATGACCAGATAATCGAGCTCTCCCCAACAAACTGAATTCAAAAATTCACCCACCATGCTACTTTTGCGTGGTCCACGCCAAATAACCGCAGAATCAGGATTATCTAACAGAAACCCGATTGATATCACGGGAAAGCGTTTGGTGTGTCCGTCAGCATAGACAGGTAGCCAGCCTTCAGCACATGAATGGATCTGAAAACCATAATAGATATTCAAAAAAGTAAAAAATAGAGGTTAAACTTATCAACTGATTTCAAAATTGTGTATAACAAATGTAAATAGGTAACTACGAGTTTAAAATAAGTATTAAAGTCGAAACTCGGCCGCAGTAGCTACCCTGAAGTGGTGATCGAACTTGCCTGTCTTGGTGACTCAATTGGATTATATTGGCTGGAACAAATGTTCATCTAGGTCCCAGCATCCCAGGCAGGTCAGTTGGAGAAAGATAAAACTAGAAACAGCGGATTAAGGCTCGAAGGCGAAGCCATAATGTTTCCTTCAGCAAACCAACATCCGTAGTGATAGCGCCTCACAATGGAGGAAATGGGTTGAAAAAGGCTGACCAAAAATGTCACACCACCTTACCCCACAGGCTTCCATCTCCCGAAGTAAGGCCTTTTGAAGTGCGGAGCTGGGCTCAAGCAATCGTCTCTTGGGGTCCGCAGTCCTGCTACCAGATCGTTAAGAACACCAATAATTCAGTTTTTTCATAAGTCCCTCAAGAATAAATATTCGTTTACAGTGTGGGCAACTGGGAAGTGACAACCGCTCTCATAACTCTATCAGCACCCGAGATCTTATTGACGATTAAGCCCCTGCTTCACCTTTTAATAACCACGCTCCAAACTATATGAAGCTTTTAATTTTCGAACCTCGTTTCAGATGGAACGACAGGCTTCTCTAGCTAAGACTCTAGAATCTCGCACTATTGATAATATGTTGCGTCTCTGGAACGTGCAGTCAGGATTAAAGTACTGTCATATATTTGACCTCTACTTGTCATTATAAAGAACCGGCACGATTTGTTCTTCAAGTATCTGAAGATCCCACTGCTACTTCCCGTGCCCTCTCTCGTGGAGGTAGACAGTCGTTTGTGCGCTGTTCGACTAAACGGGGCAGTAAGAACTAGAAAAGATATGGACACATGCCGTTGCCTTTTCGTTGTCTCTACCTACACTCCCATTGATTGCAGCTCGCATGAAATCAAAGATGAATTTTATTGGGAAGCTATCCAACCTTTAAGAAGTTAAACGCTCTTATGTAGTAATAGTGGCAGGTGATTATAATGCTCAAGTAAGTAAGCAAGCTAAACCAAACCGAAAGGCATTTATGTGGATCTTATAGCGTTGCGGCTCAGCGAACAGATAATGGCGGCCGTCTGTTGCAACTATGTTTAGATAATCGTCTGTTTCTGGCGAACACCAAATTTAAGCATAAAGAGATATCGTCTGACGTGGAGACCTCCACAATGAATTCATCGATGAACTTAAATAGATCAAATTGCCGTTAGCCATTGTTGAAGGGGCTCGAGTGGAGACTGTTACTCATTCTAGAGTACTAAAGAAAGAGCTGGTCAATCGTGAAAACGGTATCCACGCCGAGGTAGCTAGGAATAATATACAAAAAGCTGAGAAAACAGCAACGATATCTATAGTAACTTAAACCAAAAGGCTAAGAAAAGTCAACGAATTTCAGCGGCATCTATAGCACTGACGGATGCTCGAAAACTCATCCCGCCTGGATCTGAACAAGATAAGGAGCGGAGGCAAGTTAAACATAGACTGATCAGAAGCCTATGTAATGATCATGAGCAGTGGTGGGTATCAAAAACAGAATAAATGAAAAAGGCAGCAGCGATAGGTAACAACAGACAACTGTTCATACTTAAGAGGGAAACGGGTATTAGAAATACGGCTGTTAGTGAAACTATTTCGGAAAAAGACGGGACTATTATTCACTCTCAATCCAGGAGATTAAACCGATGAACAGAACATGTTAGGAAACAGTTCAACCGGTCTTCAGCAACACTTCAGTTACCCAATATCTCCAAGCAACCTGAAAGTGAAATTGACTTAAGTCATCTAACTCTTAGTGAGGTTGGAAAGGCTATTAGTAATCTAAAGCCAGGGACAGCAGCAGGATCCGATGGACTAACCCTTGAGATTTTTATGGATCATAGTCTAGTTTAAGTAGTTAAATCAACTGAGAACTCAGCTAAGATCTGGGAATCACACGTAATCCCATCTGACTGGTCTCGATCATCCCAGTTTATAGTCAGTCAGTCAGGTACAAAGTAGGACCAGGCACATATATGCATCGGTCCAAGTTGCCATACCGCACTAACACAACAAGATGGACACCGGATTCATAAAAGTACTTAATTCAATGGTGGTAATATATAAAAGAAAGATTGAATATAAGGATATAGTACAGGAAGAAAGAATTGGTTCGTAGAAAGAAAGATATGTAGTGATTTTAATCTCTTAGTTTAATGGAAGACAGGGAGTGTATACACCGACGCCATTGTGATCGATTCTGAGCCATGTCACCAAGAGTCTCCAACCATTGGTTACGAAAGTCACGCGGACCCCAACCAAGTAGTCTGCATCTACCAACATGGCTCAGACTAGAAGTTAGTAACTTCAAGCACTGATGCCGCGTTTTGGTTTGGCCGCCCCTAACTTTCTTCCAACCATCCCCTACACCGGTTAGCATTGCACGTCGTGGTAATCGGTGTTCAGGCATACGTAATACGTGGCCCAACCATCTCAGTCGATGAAGATTCATAACCTCATCAACTGACTTACCATCATTCCCTAATACTCTGCGTCTAACCTCACTATTACTTACCCGGTGATCCCAGCAGATGCCAGCAATATTTCTAAAGCATCTGTGGTCAAATACTAATAGCTTACGAGTGTCTTCTACTCTTAATGGCCATGTTTCGCTCCCGTAAATTAAAACAGAACAGACTGCCGCGCAGTATACTCGTCCTTTTATTGATAGACAGATATCTCGCCTTCGCCATAGGTGGCGCAAGTTGGCAAAAGCCAATCGAGCTTTTCGAATCCGTGCTGAGATTTCGTCCGATACCAACCCATTAGGGCTGATCAGACTTCCAAGATAAGTGAAGTTGTCGACGCGTTCGACTACTTCACTCCCTATCCTTAGTTCAGGTGTTGACGCAGACCAGTCCTGAAGCAACAACTTGCATTTAGAGGGAGAGAAGCGCATTCCAAACATCCTGGCATTGTTGCTCAGTGCTACCAGAAGACTCTGCATTTTGTCAGCGTCTTCACCAAACAGGACTATGTCATCTGCGTATTCTAAGTCGATATGTGGACCTCCTGGTAGGAGATCAATACCCGAGAATTCAGTCGACGAGAAAGTTATTTCCATCAGTAGATCTATGATGAAGTTAAACAAAAATGGAGAAAGTGGACAGCCTTGACGGACACCACTTGAAGTTGCAAAAGTAGATGACAGTTCGCCATAAGCCCTGACTCGACTAGTAGTGTTCGAGTAAAGAGCCTTCACAAGGTTTATGTACTTCTGGGGTACGCCTTTCAATGACAGACACTGCCACAGAATCTCGCGGTCTACCGAGTCAAATGCTGCTTTTAAGTCGAGAAAGACCACCATTGTCGGACGCCGATAAGTATGGCTGTGTTCTAGAATCTGACGAATGGTGAATATGTGGTCGGTGCAGCCACGACCAGGTCTGAAGCCAGCTTGGTTCTCTCGTGTTTGCAGTTCACGAGTCTTAGTTAGGCGTCTGATAATTATCGAGGCTAGTATTTTAGATATTATATTAGTTAAACTAATCCCTCTGTGGTTGTCACAGGATGATTTTGACCCTTTCTTATATATTGGGAGGATAATTAGTTGTGACCAGTCAGATGGTATAACGTCAAACTCCCAGATTTTAGCATGAAGGCCTGTGGCAGTGTTTGTCATTGAAAGGCACGCCGAAGTATGCTAACCTTGTACAGGCTCTCTGCTCGAACACTTCTGATCGAGTCAGAGCTTATGGCGAACTGCTGTCGGAAGTGGTCACTTCAAGTGGTGTTCGTTAGGGTTGTCCGATTTCTCCATTTTTACTCAACTTTATCATAGACATGCTTTTAGAGATAACATTTTCATCGTCTGACTTTTCAGAGATTGATCTTCTACCAAGTGGTTCGCTTGTTGATTTTGAATACGCAGCTGATATAGTTCTGTTTGATGAAGGCGCTGACAAAATGTTGTTTTCTGACCACAGTAAGGAACAATGCAAGTATATTTGGGATGCGATTATCTCTCTACAAATGTAAAACCCTGCTCTAGGATCACCTTACGTCAGCTCCTGAATCAGTGATGGAGAGTGGAGTAGTTAAACGCATCAACCGCCTCACTGATGGTCCGGTGTCCGATGAAATCTCGGTACGGATTCAGAAGGCTCGATTGTATTTCGCTAACTTATATCGCTTGTGGTGTAGGCAAGATATCCATCTTCCAACCAAAGGGCAAGTTTACTGTGCGGCAGTCCGCTCTGTTCTACTTTACGGATGTGAAACATGGCCATTAAGAGTAGAGGATATTCCTATTTTACTGCCATTCGACCATAAGTATCTTCAAACAGTTGCTCGTGTATTTCAGGACCAACAAGTATGCAATTTTTGGGTTAGGGAAAGAGTATCAGGTAAGGATGGTAAATCGGTTACTGAAGTCGTAAATATTCAGCTGAGGTGGTTTGAACATTTGTTACATATGCCGCAGATAGTTCTATTCTTTGTCTTCCTTCGAATTCTGATATTCTAAATTCCTCATAACCATTTACGGTTTCATCTACATCTCGAATCATATCTTCTATCCATAACCTAGTGCCACTGATATTATTACCAACTACCATTCTAATATTTAGTTTGACAATTTTATCTCTGTGCTAATGGGGTATGGCAACTTGAGCCGATGTACATACCTACCAGGTTCTACGTTGTGACCGACTGATTGTTAAGTTGAAATATGTTTATCATCCAGGTATCAAGTCTGTTAACGGTAAAATGTGAGGCTAGAAGTCCCCGGTCTGTGAGCTTTACTTCCAATCACTTCGCCATAATGTCAGAAGTCCACTTATCTAATTCATTCTGGAAAATGAATGTGGCCAGAACAACTATTGTATCATAAATAACTGGATCTACGAAAATCCATATTAGTTTGGAAGTTAAAATGATATATTCATTTAAACTTACCTACACAACATACTTGAATGAGAAGATAAAGCAAAAGAGAATAGTCCTAATTAAAGTGGAAAACCAGGAAGCACTGTACGGCCTTTTCGTCCCATTGTGGAATTCCCCAGCAGTGCGCATCCACGACCCCACCTCGCGGGATTCGGACCCTGGACCTATCAGTCTCGCGCCAGGCGCCTAACCAACCAGACCACTGAGCCGGCATCCGACGGTGTTAATGTCTAACTTCAACTAATTCACGAAATTGAGCGACACATCCACCATTGTCATCAGTGAGTTACTACCTCACAACTGATCCGATTGAACTTCATTGGTCACTGCTTCTCACTAGAACTCCGGGAGGAGTCCCACAATAGGACGGAACGTCTGTCCAGTGCTTCCAGGTTTTCCATGGTGGTCTAGCTTCAATTGGCTCATGATCTCAACTGTTGAAATTACTACAATCTCCACAAAACCCCATCTGATACTAATCAACATATGCTCACTAGTGACTGGCTCCAAGAGATATATCCTGGAGTTCTAGTGAGAAGCAGTGACCAATGGAGTTCAACCGGGTCAGTTGTGAGGTAGTAACTCACTGATGACAATGGTGGATGTGTCGCTCAATTTCGTGAATTAGTTGAAGTTAGACATTAACACCGTCGGATGCCGGCTCAGTGGTCTGGTTGGTTAGGCGCCTGGCGCGAGACTGATAGGTCCAGGGTCCGAATCCCGCGAGGTGGGGTCGTGGATGCACACTGCTGGGGAGTTTCACAATGGGACGAAAAGGCCGTACAGTGCTCCCTGGTTTTCCATGGTGGTTTTGCTTCAATTGACTCATGATATCAACTGTTAAACTGGAAAACTTAAGAAAACCACCTAGTATTCAAGCTCTAGCGATAGGATGAATAAGACGTGGTTAACCCACGTCTAGAAGTTATAAGTTTTTATACTCAGAGCGTGGCTCATATTCAAGCACCTGGTGAATAATTTAACTTAAATTTACAAAATATGAACCTATACATTGACCGTGGTAACGACGAGGAGGAATCTGTGTCCAACCTGAGCCAATTATACTGACTGAGTTATGCTCTAATTTCAATGTGCTACAGGCAACACTTTTCCGACAAATAGTTCAAAAACGTGATCCAATCCAGTGTAGCCATGAAGGAATGAACTAGTTTTAGAATCTCATCCCATACTCAGTACGTAACTCAACAACTTATTATAATTCTCTGAATCTTAGTCAAAATACTACTGGTTAAGTGAACTCATGAAACAAAGAGAGTGCCTGAAAGCTACCAGCACTGAAACAGTTTATCGTCTCAGGTTTAGTACTTGGAGTGCTTAGTCGACACATGTTGACCAATAATGAGAATTACGTTTAGTACCCATTAAGCCAAGGAAACATCGACGAGACTGTTGGTTTCCTAACATCTGTTGAACAGCTCTCCATTCAAAAGGGTTTTGGTAACCAATACAATCTACAGTTAGCACAAAACTTAACATTTGATGCGTTTAACTGGTAGTATATCAGTGTCAAGGATTTTTATGTGCAGACTTAAGACGAATAGCATGATATATATATGTATATTCCATTTACAGTCGTTACTAAATGAAATAAACGGTAGGCAAAAACCCAGAATTTCTTACTGTTACTGACTTTGTTGTTTTCCAAACCCAGTATACGAGGTATAGACGGTCCACAAAAGTCAATATCAAGAATACCAGCACAGAAACCACTATTCCATAGGTTAATGGCGACTTGAGCAGCAACCGTGGATTTCCCGACACCCCCCTTCCCAGAAGTTACAACCAAGACATGTTTGATGTTTTTTATCCCCGGTCGGATTAAATCCTTATCAGAAATATCCTGCAAATAGATTTTATGTATACAGAAACATACGGACAAAACACAAGTTGTTTGGACATTTTATTGATAAAAATACAGAATGGGGAATGAGTCCATAAACTTTTGAAATTGGTGAAAAACCTTGGTGCTATCCGTACCGATGATTATAAGAACTCTCAGGTCTGGAACTGCTGTGACGAGAGTAGGGACTACGTTCTCTACGACTAGCAGTCGGTGTGGAGCCCATGTGTCTACTGTATTCATCAGACCGCCTTCTTCCAGACGGACGGTTTTCAATAAAGGCTGGGGGACCATGTTGCCAACCATAAGGAGGAAGATCATATGATGGTAAAGGGTGTAGGTTGTGTTCATATCGTGGGTAATAGTTATACCCCATTTCATGAACCAAATGTCGGTTACCCGCAGGTGGAGTAAAACTTGAAAATGGATCACGACGGTGGCTGGTATGATGAACATAGTCCGTACTCCCATTAAAATGACTTTGGTAAGGCGGTGCTGAATATGAAGGGTCGATTCGAGGCCTGGAATACTGGTAGGCAGAAGGTGGAACAGAACGTATTTTTAGATCCTGAAACTTGGAGTTTTGTCTTGGACGGATTTTCAGTTCCGTGCCATATAATGTGATCCCTTCAAAAAGTGAGCAAGCATATGGGACAGACTCTTCATCCTCAAACGTTACGAAGGCGAATGTGTCCTTAACGGCAACATCTTCCAAAGGTCCAGCCTGAAGAAAAAGTTCATACAAGATATCAGTTGTTATTTTGGGATTAATGTTTCCAACGTATATACATCGATCTGCAGTCATAGTACCGTCCTATTAGATTTGCCCGGTTTATTTCCGTTTCAGCCTCAATGCTTGAAAATAAGTAGTAGTATGAAGATGTTGTAGGGTTAAACTATGTGCTTCAGGTTTCTGTTCCAAGAGTGTTAAAATCTGAGGCTTGTGTGGGGATGATCAACTGAACTAAATCTGGTTCTGGGTTGAACATTTGTCATTACCAAGCAGTTTGAAATTTGTGATTACATTTTCGCTGGTGCTTCTCTGTGCCAAAGATTATACATTTAGATTGGATTCTCAGCCTTCTCTGTAGTACCAAAATTCATGGGACAGGTTGAACAAAAAATGTTGAATTTCCCCAACATCAACCTTTTTCCTTCATACAGATGTTAGATTGTGGAGATATGCATGACAAAATTATTTTGTAAATAGTTATTGATATTAGTTGCATTTATTCTGTCAATTTTTTACAGTCTGTACATTTTCCACAAAATGATTTATATGTTGTTCAAGTGTATGACCCTGAACACACTTTCTTCCGTCGTGTTACACACGTAGCATAACACACGCTGTTACCTGCTAGCAAATACACTACTATACACACGCCTCTTGTTCTCTATTACTCGTGGTTGTGATAACTGAACTCTAAATAACCTACTGTCTACATATATAGACCGCAGCCACATTTGCATTATATTCTACGTTTTGCTGTATTACTGGAAGCACAACAATCTTATTTAAATCATTAGCCGCCTATAATTGTGGATTCTGGTGGCAAACGCAAGCCAGCTGAATTAAGCAACGTCCCTAATTTTCATGATGTTTATAACGTATAACTGCTATATTATAACATTACTGTTTGTATGCAATAACTTTATTACTATTTTTAAGTTCATATATTGTTTGGTCCGCTACAACTATCTGGTGAGCTATCATTTAGGCGCATGAATACTGAGTAGCGGTGAATAAATCACCGAATTACATATCTTCGTTTCAGTGCAGCAATGATGCTTAAATTTTTTAACCCTAGCAAACAATTAACTGGAAGCTCTCAACGAAATGTCATATCCCGGTACAAGCAATGTAATATACTGAACTTATTGGTCTTCAGTCCACTTACTTATGTCTGGAAATAAATATTCTGTTCTTCAATACCGTCACCGTCATTCAGATCTATACTTGGAAGACATAAAGATATTGCCTGATTACGTTGCATCACATCACACAACCTTGAGACACTTATTCGCTTTTGTAATATCACAAGGTTCTAATGATTCATTTTAGTATTTCAGAAGTTCTGTTCAGCACACGATGACAATAAAGGGGTTTTTTATGCTAGTGCTCTGAAGAATTTTATCTATTTTGTTCAGCCGGACACTTTAGAGTTGATCCGTGTTTGGTTAAAAATTCACTTATCCAAAGAAGTACATTCCTCTTCATCTCTAAATTATTTGAATTCGAGGGTACGCTGTTATTCAGAACTTTATCAAATGTCATATACAAATTCACTTGAGCGAATTTCATTGTGTAGTTTATATATATACGTATATAGTTCCAAATAATAAGAAGTTCGATAAGTATTCAATGTGGGCTTTGACTGCATTAGTTTTTATGGGCTAAACTACCTGAAGGTTCACTGCCAATCATCCACACAATTTATCCGCAAAACTGTTTTAGTCTTGAAACTTTGTGCCTTCGTTTGGAAAAGGCTTTAATATCTTAGTCATAACCCTTATTTCTCAACGCACGAACATTTTATCATTCAGCATGAAAAAATGAACATCCCAGTGCCTTAGCAAAATAAGGAAGCAAATAACTCTAGCTTCTAGGTATAGCGCTTTTATTCTGACTGAAAGTTATTAGTCGGCTCCTAACCGCTTATCTTTAGCTGTTATTTCAGTTTCCTCCCAGAATCTACAGCCGCAAGAATGTTGGTTAGCACAATTCGAAAATGTACGGGTTCATCGGTTGTTAAAAGTGATTCATGAGTGCTATGTTAAACCCGTATCATACACTCAATCATCTTACCGAATAAACGTAGGTAAACAGTCTGTGTCGAATTTTTCAAATTCTGAAAGTTCTAGCACACACTATAAGAAAAACGCCTCTGTTAATCATGAGGAGCCAGACAAGATTGCCCAAACCAGTCGACTACTTTGCACGCAAGTGACAGCCGTGTTTAGTATACTTAATAGTAAAAACATAAATTCTGCTGAAAACACACTGCTTAAAAATGGTGGTCTATCAGACACATGGTGTATTCGCAAGATATTACGTAATTCCAACAGCAATGCAGCCTGTTTTGTGATTTTCTGCTCCGCTGCAACCACTAAAGTGGCTCATCTTCCAATGTTAAAAAACAAGATTACTCACTATATGACCGCTTCCCAAAGTCTTCATAATACCACTGACGCATCACAACATCATAAGCCATTCAGTGTGATAATTCAATTCATTATGCCTGTTTCTGGGCCTAAAGCCTGACTCGAAAACCCAGAATTACAATAAGTCTCTTCGAGACTGGACCAAATTATTGGTACTCGTCTACTTCTACATTAAAATAAAGCGCACATTCCTTGGCAATCTTCATAACCCGACCATTAAAATCACCCACTTCTGCAGGACAGTGTCGTTTGGGTAACGGCATGTTACCTCTTCACTATAGAAATTTTTTTAAAAGTGACTTTAAACCAGTTTACTACTGTGCATAACAAAACCACATGTCTTAGAAATAATCCTAAGCAATTCTATCTCAAACTTTCGCAGAATTACCTCCATCACTGCTCCCAACAGGGTAGATAAACCTTGCAAATAACATACATTTGTCTTTGCCACCAGAATAATAGACTTAATCCCAAAATTGTAGGGTTGACGTGATGTGACTATCAAATGTATGAGATCTTACGTGAAAGTCAGCGAAACGCTGTTCATAACTTCTAGAAAACACAGTCGGGCCGGGGATAGAACAACGTATTCAGCATGAAAAAGAAGATGTATCACTAAGTGGTCAGGCCTGCAAGACTAAGCCATGCCATACCGATAAATTCCCTCTGCGTTCACTATCCCTGACCTTTCAGTGTCAGATGTCAATTGCAAATCTCCACAGTTATCATGGAACTACACACCATATGCCCCAAAGATGAAAAGTAAGCTCGTAGGAGACCCAACAGAACTGTTTTAGGTATTCAGCAAAGTGTTCACATTCACATTTACCTGACGTAAATGGCTTACACGTACAGTTTGTACTCGCCAAAACATCCAAGATTATGGTATACTGGGGTACGGACATCATCGGGTTGAAAGGCCAGTAATGTGTTGTAATTCGAATTTTGTCTGATACGACATCTGTTTATAAAGAAAAGCAACAGAAACATAGCAAGTGGCCAAAGGTTTTTGAACATGTCCCGTAAGATATAATATAATTTTTATCATGTTCTTTTCATTCGTTTGCCTGTGAAGTATATATTAACTAACTTATTCTGCCATTCTTATACCAATAATTAATAGTCTAAGATAAGTGTTCCGCTTTTTCAGATCTTTTGGAGGCGCATTAGAGGTCAGCTTTTCGTAGTTTTAGTTGAGCAAAGCGGTGACACTTAGCAGTGCAAATTGAGGATTGTAGTGATTAGTTTACGAGCTTGAAGTGAAGTGTGATATTAAACAAAATTATCTTTTTCCAAAGGAAGTTCCAACCCTAATTTTTCACATTGTGCATAGTATCTCTGACAACCCGACCGTAGCTACTACTATCATGACGCGGTGGTCTGGCTTAATTTGACACTGCTTAATACTTAATACGCCCCAGATCTTAAATGGGATCGAACTTAGTACATCTACGCCTCAAAACACAATCCCACTCAACCAACTTAACATTTATAACTTATGAAGACTTCTGTTGTGTCCCGATATGAATAATGAGTGGTAATTTTTTAGGGATTTATTTATGGACCAATACTGTGTGTGTATCCTTGTCGTATAACTGTTAATTAACTAAACTGTTCATATTCATGTCTCTCTCATCATAAGCTTTATTTTAACCTATGAACCGTTATTATACGATTTTCCATTCTCGAATTATTCCCTGTTTATTAATCACTACCTCCCACATTCACAGCCACATTTGGCCAGATCTTGTACAAATGTTATCTTCTATTTTATAGTACGATGTGGTCTGCTTGATTGTTATATAAACATAGCATGTTTGCAATACATTATTCATATTGCAGAGGCTGGTATTGGTGTTCTGGACTTAATTGGCTGGGCTAGGCGGAAGGCAGGACCAATCAGGAGTCTAGGCTGCTCATGTGGGTTTTACGCGTCCTTGGTCCGATCGATAATTCGCTGCTTCTGATTAGCAGCTTCGTGCTATAACAGTTTGTAGCGTACATACTATCATGAAAATGAAAGATATCAACTTACAAAATAATTCCCTACATTTCTTTGAAAGAGAAACTGAAATTTTTGCAAATACATTTGTTAGAATAAGGTTAAAAACTGATTATGAACTTGGCTATAACGATACAATTTAGTATTTTGCATTAATGCTGTTCAAAGAAGCAAGTAAAGCACTAATTGGATGGGAATCTCACGAATCTAGAATCACCAAAGCATTCTTCAATTCAAAGAAAGAGAGGGTTGTAATGAATGTTATTCAATGCTATGCACCCTCCAATGATAGCAACGACGATTAAGATGTTTTACAGGAGGCTGTAGTCGATCGTAGAGAAGTGTTCAGGAAACGACCTGATCATCCTGATGAGAAACCTAAACGCCAAGGGTGAAATGGACAACACTGAGTATCAAGACAACATGGACAGTGAGAGAGGAATGAGATTTGCCAATTCATATGCCTTCAATAAAATGAATATAGGTGGAACTACATTATTCCACAAATACATACACGAAGTTAAATGAGTCTCACCGGATCACACTACAGAATACCGGATCGGTCGCATTTGCACCAATAAAACATTTGAAAGATCCATGAAAGACGTGAGAACAAAGAAAGGAGCTGACATAGCTTTAGA